GCCGCTTAACAGGCGGAGCCGAGCTCGGCTCGTCTACAAACCGGTCCGCGCGGCTCGAGCTCGGGCTCGTCTTTTGACGAGCCTGAGCGGCTCGTGGGCATGAACAGTACGAGCCGAGCCGACAAGCCGCTCGGCTCGATTGACATCTCTAGTTCTCGCTTTATCATAAAGCATTCCTTGTTCCTGTTAGATCCCCTACATATTGGTGACAATGGGGGTCAACTTACTCAAGGTTAGTTTCGTACGTTAAGGCAGGAAACTTTTTCTTGCGGCCTAGCCTTGCCTAGTGCAATATTTTTTAGAGGAAATTACACCTACGCCTGGAAATAGATTTCCAATTTCAAAATTAAGGTCACAAGTTTAACATTTCAAAAATCAGGTTTTTTTATATCTAATTAAATAATAATTAATTANTCCGACGACTCTGGCGCTCGAAGTTCCGGACGGTGGGACGGTGTCGCTGAAGATCCAGTCAGGTATTTCCCTAGGGTTTCGCCGATACGTTTCTCTCTCTCTACCCTCAGTCCCTCACCGTTTTCTCTCTCTCTTTCTCTGGCCTCAACGTGTTTCTCTCCTCTCCATCGCTGTCTTCTACCTTTTCCCTCGCCGGCAACGCTGGCGCTCGAAGTGTTGGATGGTGGGATGGTGGTGCTCGAAGATCTAATCAGTGGGTGTGCGGTTCTGTGGCTGGGTGTGTGGGTGTGTCACTGCTGCCATTCATGTGGGTGTGTGGCTAGGTGAGTGTGTGAATCGGAGTGGCGGCTGATCCATGGGTGTGTGGTGGATCGGTGGGTGTGGCTGCTGTTGGTGGTTGCTGCTGTTGGTGGCGGATCTGTTGTTGTTGTTGTTGGTAGCTGTTGTTTTTTACTGTTGTTGGTGGCGGGTCCGTTGGTGGTTTGGGTGGGTTGTGCGCGGCGGTGGTGATCATGCGGTTTGGGTGGCGATGGTTGCGTTTATGTGCGATGGGTGCGTTTCTATGTGATTGTTGTGTTGCTGTGCGATGATTGGGTGTGTGCGCGTGCGGCGGGGGTGGTCGTGCTCGCGACGGTGGTGGTACCGCTGGTAGAGGCATTGGTGAAGTGATGGTCATGATTGATTTGATTGTTTATGACCAGTGAATTAGATAAATAATGTGACCAATAAATGCTGCGACCAAAAAATTATTAATCTGTAACCAATTATGGTAATCACAAACGATTTTGGTAGTGGTTACAAACGATTTTGGTGGTGGTCACAAATAATTTGATTGTTTGTGACCACTAATTATTAATTGTGACCAAAAAATTATTAATTGTGACCATAAATTATTAATTTGTGATCTAAAAATTATTAATTGTGATCAATAAATTGATAAATTGTAACCTAAATAAGTATTGTGATTTATAAATTTTGGGATCTGTAACCGATGAACAAATTGTAACTTTCAAATTTTTAAGTTGTGACCAATAAATAAATTGTGACTTATGAAAATTTGGAATTGTGACCTAAAAAATTTTGAATTGTGACCAAATTGTATAGATATGTGACCTTAACATATTCGTCGAAATCGGATCAGTCGTCGGAAAAGTCGCCGGAACGGTCGTAGGAATAGCTTCGGAGTTGTAGGGGTGGTGGAGGTGGGGTGGGTTAATTATTTTATAGTAGAATTAAATATTAATAATAAATTAATTTCATAATTATAATTTCATAATTAAAAATTTAAAGAAACCTAATTTTTGAAATTTAAAACATGTTTTGGTATTTTTGAAATTAGTAAAAGTAAGCCTCTATTTGGTATCCATTCTTTTTTTTATTCTCATTCTTCTACTAATTTTCAAACACACATTCATCAATAAAATAATATTTTCCATCACATCAATAACTTTTTCTTCATTTTCAACCACAAAAAAGGTGTGATTTGACATAAAGAATGCATATTATTCTAGAATAATGGTTACAAAACGGTGCCTAATT